CTTTAACAGCTTGCTAACGTGTAGCACCCTAGGCCTAAAGAAAACAAATATTAGAATAGATGCAAAGAGAATAAGGGAAAACTAATACTAATAATAAGAGTCTTAATGCCTTAGGTAGTGCGCTTAGCAGCGCTCTTAAGCCTATTAATATAAAGGTTAGTTTAGGCCTAGGTCTTGTTTATACGCTAGTTAATGCGCTAGAAGGTAACACTAGTAGTAGTAGCAAGCTATATAACGTTATTATTGCTATAACTACTACGCGAAGGCGTAATAGTAGACTAAAGAGGAAATACTAAAGTACTAGTAGTAGATAGAATAATAGCGCTAAGCTAATACTAATTATAGGCGCGCGAGTAAGTAGTAGGGGCGAGTAGAGTAATAGCGTTATTAGTTTAAGCCCTTAATATAAGATCCTTAAAATAATAGTAGAGCTAGTAGAACTATAGTATAAACTAGTAATAGGTGCCTTTAGTAGGTTTCCCTGCAAAAGTACTAAGGGTCCCCTTCTTTGCGATATAAAGGCAATCCTCCTAGTAACTGTAACAAAACTAAAGCTAGTTATAGAGGGCTTAGTAGATATTAGGATTATTAGCAAGGATAGCTTCTAACCAAGTACAAGTCTTATAGCCGTAACAGCACAACTTGCATAAGCGCCCTAGATATAGTTAGAACTTGCTATAAAGGAAACAAAAATTAAGGGGAACTTATTACTACCCTCCTAATAGTTATACTTACTAAAGAGATAAAGCTAGTTAATACACTAATTATAGGGAAGCAGCTTTATAAAGCTACTATTATATTCCTTATTATCTAAGTTACTAGAAATAATAAAGCTACTAAGTAACTAGGTTTAGGGAGATATGTGCTAAATAAAAAGTTAGTGCAGGAAATATAGGGAGAATATTAGAAGTACGCACCTTGTCTTAGTAGGCCTAGCGCGGGGTCTAACTACCTTATAGTAGATCCCTACTACTAGCACTAGTAGCTACAGACAAAGATATAATATAGACTAGATAGGCAGGATTAATAGAAAAAGATTAGAGAAAGGACTAATTAGTAGGGAAAATCTGTTATATAACAAAGTAAGTTAGGAAATTTATAGTAGGGGGGGACAGCTATATTAGAACTTTTATAGTAGGGTGCTAAAATAAGCGTATAGACGCTACACGCGCGTACTGCTTAATATATAGGCCTGTTACAAATTAGGAAGGAATATAAAGATATAACAACAAAACTAAAAAATATAGCAATAAAGCCTAATATAGATTATAGAGGACAAAGACATAACCCTAAACCCCTAGAAAGATAATTTCACGATAGTTTATAGGGGAAGGTTAAGGGTATGTAAAGGACTTAGGCTTATGCCTAAGCCTAGGTCTAACACAAGATAGACTAAGTCTAACACTACTACTAAGCGAACACACTAGACACCTATAAAAAGGCGTGGAGGGCTTATCTCTCCTTTAAGATACTAAATACTATTATTAACGCTTATTGCATTCTCCCTTAAGGCCAGTCTATAACAGAGATCTACAGCTCACTAACTCAATTTATTTAACCTACGCAGCTACCCTAGTAGCTTAAACCTTTAGGACTACGATAGCTATTAGAGCCAAGTTTAACCTTAAGATATATTAATATAACGTTGTTAGAGCTTTCCTTAATACCTTAAGGGATTAACACCCTATAGTTATCTGCGAGCTACCTAAAGGATATTAAATACCTAGGAAGTGCGTTAAGCTTAAATAAGCTCTATATAGATTAAAAGACTTACTATTATTATAGTATAACAAGCTCTTAACTACACTCTAAGAAAATAAGCTTATTACTTCTAAAGAGGAGCTATACCTATTCTTTAACAGAGATCGTAGTATCTTGTTAATATTCTATATAGACGATATCCTATCGCTCTATTACTAAAACTACGCAAGCTAAGCTCACAAAGTTATCTAAGCTCTAAAGCAAAGATATACTATAGAAGAGAAGGGACCTATAAGCTAGTTTCTAGGGGTAAGAGTAATCTAGGATAGAAAGAGATAGACAATAACGCTTATTTATAATAAATACATTAACAAGATTACAAAGAAATTTAATCTAGTAGAGATAGGAAAATTCCCTACTACACTACTATTAAGTAAAGACATTAAAAAGAGCACTAGAAAAGCCACTAAAAAGGAGATTAAGGACTATCAGGAGCGCGTTAGATTAATCCTTTACACCTTAATTATAGTGCGCCCTAATATTGCCTATGCAGCCTCCTAGCTCTCCTAATACCTTACTAACCTATCTAAATAATACTTTAATGCAGTTAATTAAGTAATTATCTATCTATACTAAACTTAATACTAATTAATCTAATATAGGAATAGGGATCCTAATAAGCTTATAATATGTAGTAATGCGTTATTTGCTAATAATATTAATACTTAGCAATTATTATATAGATACCTAATCACGCTCTTTAGAGGACCTATTATTTAGAAGGTAGCTTAATAAGCAACTGTTACTACTTTAACTACTAAGGCAGAGCTCCTTACGCTTAAGTAAGTAAGTAAAGAAGCAATAGCGTTAAAACGCTTTTTAACTAAAATACACCTTACTTTAGATACTACCTAGATAATTAATTATAATAATTAATAAACTATTAGGTTAGTAGTAGGTAATAATAAAAGGATTACTACTAAGCTACGCTATATAGATATTTAAAACATATAGCTTAGGCAAGAGTATATAAAGGGATCTTTTTATATTACCTACCTACCTACTAGTAATATACTAGCTAATAGGCTTACTAAAAACCTAACTATATAATAATTTATAAGGTTTAGGGAGCACCTAAAGTTATATAATAGTAGAGTATATATTATATAGCGTTAATTAAAGTAAGGTAGTATATAAGATCTATTAATATATAATATAAAAATAACTAACTATAGCCTACCTCTCTATTATTAACTAGGTAGCTTCCTTAAGGAGCTCTATTACGACGCGCAAAGCGTGCTCTTACGAGTCTATAGGGGGCTACTTAGGTTGCCCTATCCTAGGATCTATAGGGGGAACCTTAGAGGAGCTAGAGTCCTTATCTTCTAATAAGGAGCTCTAGGCGCCCTTAGCTGTAGAAGTAGCCTTACGCGTAAGCTTAGTAGTAGTAGTAGCAGCTTTTACTAGCTCCTACTATTTAGCCTTGCTCTCCTTAAGGAGTACTAAGACCCTTTGCTTCTTATCCTTAAGAAGGTCTTAGCTCTTACCTACCTACTTCCTTACTAGGAAGGATAGCGTAGAGCGTTAGGCAAGCTTAGGGCTATTAATTAGTTTATTAGTATAAGATCTTGCTAAAAGTATTATAAAGGAAAAATTCTTATATAGATTATATATATTAGGATATAGCTATACCTAGAGGAGCACTACTAGCACTAAGTCCCCCTACTAGAAGAGTTATAGCACTTACTATTAGACTTATTAAAGAGCGCTAAGCGTAGATAATTTAGATAAGTTTTAGTATAATAAATACTAGGCTCTCTATAGTAGAAGGATCTTAGGGTCTTCTTAGGAGCTAGAGAGGGAGTAGGCGTAGGAGTAGGGGCCTTAGGTAGGGTCTAGGGGGGAGCAGGAGCTAGAGTTAGAGCTAGAGTAGTAGGAGCTAAAGTAGGAGCGCCTTACCTTAGCTTTATAATCTTAGCTATAGTAGTAGTAGCTACGCACTTAGCTGCTACACACTCTATAATAGCCTTACGCTTAGTAGTAGCACGCTCTTCTTTAGTAGTAGTAGCTTTAGTAACTATAGCTTTAGCTATATAAGAGGTAATAAGGGTAGCGTAGGTAGAGTAAGTATAAGTAGTAGGTTTTAACTTTAACTAAGATATAGGTTAGTAGGGATATAGGTATAGTTTAGATCTTTAGGGTTATATAATCTTATAACTTAAGCTATAGTAAAAGATTATAGTTAGGTAGATAAAGTTATAGAGCTCTATCTAGATAATATCTACACGCGTAAGCGTAGGCTAAATAAGGAAGGCGCGCTAGTTAGTATCTAAAGAGTAAGCTAATTTAACCCTTTAGATATATAACGCTCTAATTAGCTACACTACCTACTAACTATAAGCGTAACTATAATAATAAAAGATCTACCTATACCTAGGGGGTATGTTACAAGAGGGATATTAACTAGATTATAGAGCATCTTAATCCTAATTAATCCTAGTTAATACCCCTATATAACCTACTATCTAATTAACTGCTAGCTTACTGCTAAGTGCCTAATAAAAAGCAGGAGCTCTAGTAAGGAAGGTTTACTAATTATTTACCTTCTAGTAAGGGTAGCTAAAGCTCTATATATATAAGTCTAATTGTAGTAGATATAATCTAATAATCTATCTCCTAAATCATTCCTAACCTTAGTAATCCAAATTTCCACAATATATTATAGTAGGGAAAAAGAAGGAGGTTAGGGAGGGAGGAGGTTAGGGAGGGAGCGTAGGTTAGGGAGGGAGAAGGTTAGAGAGGGAGGAGGGAGGAGGTTAGGGCCTATAGTAGCTAACTCTATATACGCAAAATAGTTTATAATAGGCTTATATAATAATATAGTTTATTATTATATTATAGTTCTATTACTATACTTATAGTTATAATATAAAATTAAGATCTATTAGTATAATCTATTCTACCCCTAAGGATTTTTACTTAATAGTTAATTAGTATAGTATTATCCTAAAAATAGCTATATTATATTTTAAAGTTATATTATACTAAAAAAAACCCTAGTTTCCCTTAAATACTCTACTAAAGCTACGCTAACCCTTTATATAAGTAGCCTATAATTAGCCTAGAAGTTAATATTTAGCGCTAACTATATAATTAGCCTAGAAGTTTATAGATATTTGCTAGCGCTGTAGGCGTGCATTTAGTGGAGCGTCTGATTCATGAGATAACCTTTGCCCATGGTATGTGCAGTATCTACCCCGGTACCTACTGAACTAACATCTTCGTCTTACCGGGACATATCAACCTGGGACGCCGCTCCCAAACCCAAGCGCCAACTTCGCATGATGATCTGCACAGCAATCGTGTACGCTAAGTCCTTCGGCGGCTTGGATTGAACTCTGTTTCTTTGCATTGTTGCATGCAGAGCTAGGCACGATGTCAGAGTGTACACGGTAGTGAGCGACGGGTGTTGTGCAAGGCCAAGTCTTGGAAAAGCGGGGCTCTCCCGTACCGGTAACTACCGCTAGCGCCCAAAAAACCCCCCCGAGAAAATAAGCACTTACCTTCACCAAGACCTCACTCCACCCAACGACCCGCCTACATCAAGTTAATCACGCAGAAGTTCGTATAACAAAGTTTTGGCATATTATTAACACAACTTGCCTTGCTAAGGTGTTGGTGTTTGTCGGATGCGAGGCACCCCACCATAAGCTTATCTCTTGGTTTTTCTTGAGCGCTAGAGCGGGGGCTTTTAACATGTGTATGTACCGGTAGGGGGTGAGTGCACTAACACAAAAGTAAAACTTTTGGGCAAGGCTGCCTAGACTCGTGAAGATCGGAGCAAAGCTGTCTGGTACTTGGAAGTTTCGTGTTACCGAATGTGGAAGGGAAACTCGAGGAACAGTACCGGTAGAGCCAAGTCACTGGCAGGGAACGGCATGTCCGTGTCTTGCTCCCGGTCGGCTCGAATTGAAGTGGCCAGCGAATCGGCCAAAATCATGTCAGCCTTGTGATGCACTTCGATTGCAGTACCTAAGGGTTGGCTAGTCGGGCAGACTTGGTTGAGATCGTGGCCATGCTAAGAAGCCAAGCGCCCATTGCACCGATGAAGTACTATTGTATACTACCATATGGTACACAGTACGAGTAAAGTGGTAGCACAGATCCTGATGTCTACAGCACACGTAGTTTATAGGGTTGTTGCTAGATTTTAGACCACGATCTGGTAAATGAACACGGTTTAGCTAAAGTTGACAGTATCTTTAGCTATGGAGTGTTTTTCATCGCGACCTCCTTGCCATTAACCCGCTCCTAAGTTCCATCTGTGCCCTCGCCAGAGTCTCTCTTGAACAGTCTAGCAGACTATGTACATTTTATACTAGAGTCCCTGCACTTTCCGCGCGAGAAATCACCTTTAGATTTATCTGAATCATCTGCAGACTATGTTAGTCTCTAATTTGCAGTCAGGGAAAAATCAATACTTACAGACGCAGCCCAGCAGAAAACCTGAGCCAGAGTTACATTCGCAGCAATTCACGTATGGGCCTGAGCCTATTTGCCCACATGCTTCTACACTCGGATTAGCGATGGAATTGAAGTTACTCATGGTAGCTAAGTAAAGACATGCGTACTACCAACAGGAGCACAATCAGGACCGGTACCGGTAGCACTAGTGGCAATAATAAACGAAGAAAAGAGTAGAGCAAGAGAGACGCGCATCTTGTGTGATGGTAAGAATGAATTTGCTTGATGATTTTACAACATTGTGTTAGGAAGGAGAGGTATTTATAGCTTTCTTGCAGGACGCTTAGGTACAAGCTGCTGACCTGCCCAGCTCGGAATTTTACCCGTTCGAAAGTTTTCCAGCTCGGAAGTCTACGGATGAGGGAACGCAGAATGACAAGCATTAAGCTACACTACGGTACAAAACCGGTTTACAGTAGCCATATTTATCTAAAGTAGACTAAGAAGTGGTTTAGGTAGAAGAAGTAAACCTAAATAGGGTTTACTATACTATATATTCTATAAAAGTAAACTACTTTTATTGAATATATAATCAAGTGACCGTTTTCTAAATGTTCAGGTGCTCCATATTCCGCCAGACCAGGGAGGAATAAGAAGGGGAATGTCTCTCGTGGTCGTTCCTAATGCTGAGCTTTTACCCTGTGGCGCAAGCGATGTCCAAGGCTCACTGCAAGCGAGGGAAACTGGCGCAGTGTTCCATTTTGACCGAGATCATTCTCAAAATTGGATACCAGGCAATAACGTTCCAAAGACAAAGTTTTTCTTGGAATTTGAAGTCTCATATTCCTACCTGCTCGACACGGACCTCAAGAAGTAATTCCAACGCCGGCTGCAATTGAGTGGTGGGCTCGTAAATGGGTTCGGGATACCTAATCTAGTACCTAGTTTAGGTTAGGGTTACTGTATACATCAGCCTGGTGGTCTTCGGTCTTGGCCAAAAGCAGTGGCAAAAGCTATAGAGATAATAACAGCAAGAGAGAAGCGTATTTTAAACATTAGTAAGAATAAATATAAAACATATTTACTTATCCTTAAATACGAGTTTGGGTTAATATTAAACATAGTTATACATATTAAGGCTAATTTTATTGCTAAGCTTAAGCTCTGTATAATTATGCTCTTCTTAATAGTTACAATATAATAATCCATCTCCTATGTTATCCCTATGCTTATGCAACGAACATTCATTCCATCTTAGACCAGCGCAGCCAAGTTAGACCTAGAGCTAATACCGCCCCAACTTTAGTCCAAAGCCCCTCTGCCTCTACATATAAAAGGAGCCTTATGCTTATAGATATATACACAAGTTCTTCTTATCCTTTCGTACAAGATGTATATGTGCAGGAATTAATTCGTTCAACCTCTATGCAGACACGCACTCCTATATACCTTTAAGTCGTATTAGACCCCCTTTAGACGTTCCTACCTACCTGCGTCGTTACAGCTTAGTGGTAACGCCTTTAACACTAACTAACAAACTGTTAGCTATTCCATAATTACGTAGATATCGAGATTTGTCAAATGGTACACGTAGGTTAGTAGTACCAGCAAAGTGTGGCGCAGATCTCTATATGCAGCAACATTGGTACTATACGTTCATTGTTAGATTCTAAAATTGATAGGCAAATTGACCTGACTTAACTAAATCAATAGTATTCTTGAATATTAGAATTGAGATTCGATGTGTAGTGGTCGCATTACCATTAAGTTTTGACCCTAAGTCACAGGTACATCCTAGCTGGAATTCACTTATGGTTGTGGGAATTTGGGAAATATAAGAAAGGTGTTGATTGTCAGGTTTCTCCTAGCAAGGGGAAATTACTATATAGCGTGTGGAGCGTTCTTAGCTGTCATGAAACAGTTGCTAAAATAGACTGATCATAACTTCTATTTTAAAGATGCTTCTTGCTTTCTAGAGAAATCGAACACTCTTAATTTAGGTTGTGGATGGGGCACATTCTGCCATTGCAAGCTCAACGCTCACAAACCGTCCGCCGAGTTTAGAAGTTCAATCGTCTGCGGGCAATCTAATCACAAAATCCATAGGCAGGGAAACACTATTTCTTACTCTTGCAATCCATACGATAATACTGTTTAGGCCCGGGTTTAACGTTACAGGTGCAGCAGTTTATGACTTCCGAGCTGGAAGGTCTTCATCTAAATCTTGACTGTATCTCAGCCCACATTCTCCTACACCGGGATTACCGATGACATAAAAGCCAAGTAAAGATGTACATACCACCATCCTGGGCACAGCTACAGTAGGCATAGGTAACGAATGTCGAGATTATCACAGCAAGAGAAGCACGCATCTTGAGTAATAGTGAGAAGAAGTTTGCTCGAAGATTTGGAACAGCAATTTGAGCATAGAAACAAGAGCTGTTTGAATATGCCTAGACCCCTTGTATTTGCTGAGAGTATACACCGTGGTTTCACCCAGTAGAGCGGAGTACCGCAATACTTTAATTTCAAATATAGAATCCATAACCTCGTGTTGTTATTAGCTTTATACTTGCGCGGCCTGTGCCTCCTCAGAATCTCTCTAATTTGGGTCTCTGATTCCGGGTCCGCCACACGATCGATCATCAGATATTTCGACCTGGCAACTCGCGCGAGTGTTATACGATCAGCTGCACGATTCGTTAGCATATAGTACAAGACCTGTAGGGAAAAGATGATATTTACGCAAGCACGCCATAACGCAAATCCCGCACACCGGCAGCACGCTCCCAGAGCTCCTGGATCACATGGCTCTGGACAATGTCTAGTGATTGAATACGATCCAGCTAGGTAAAGACATACGTCTATTTCCCAGACCGGGACTTTCATTGTGACATGGGTCTAATAGGCTTTAGGCTTGGCCACAAGCAGCGGCAAAAGCTAAAGAGAGGATGGCAGCGAGAGAGGAGCGCATTTTTGACGCTAGTGAGAATAGATATTAAAATAATTTTGAGAATCGCTTTGAATATTGCATAGAGTCTACGTATTAAGAGGGCTATATACTGTGGTTTATATAGTACCACAGAATGGTTCTAGTGTGGTTGCGGGCAGGGGAATGCGGACGATTACCGTGAGCCTGACCGACTCGGCATATTGATATCAGATTAGGTTACAATGAGATGGATTTTCACGTCGAAACTTGGCGTTGGTAGTACATAGGTAGATGATGAGATGGCATGCCATAGAATGAGGCATTTTCAAGCCTTGGACTGTGGCAGTTTCAAATTATCCTGCGGCTTATACCCGAACCGCCTGTATGGCGATCTTAGCTGTGAGAGTTCATACTATAGTACATGTAGTCCACATGTCTCCATGCAGCCGCCCTCAGCACATATTCTAACCTGCGCTCAATTCACGCTCTACAACCTACATAGTTCTGCAGTTGTAGTCTGTAGAGCAAGAGAGAAGTAACCTATAGCCCTAATTCATTATAAGCGCCTGTTTCTACTCTAACTTCTGTACATGCAATAAATTAATAATTTTGTCAAAGTAAGGTGCCCCTTGTTCGAGCGACCCACCAATCTGCATACCGCCGGATTAGGGTGAAGAAATTTACGATGTTCATGTAACCTAATGCCTGATGACCACTGCATATGTGTACTTACCAGTAGTAAGCAGCAGCTTATTTATCTTGTGCTGTACTTCATACCAACGGCCAACAATTGGCAGCAAACGTAGGGTCTCGCATAGGAGTAGGAACAGACCTGCGTGCTGACAGTCGAGAGGAGGCAGAATTTTGGAAATCTTAGAATTGTCAAAGCAAATTTCTTAGCAGCCAAAGTACATCGACAAACTTACCAGAATACTTATGCCAAGGTGAGAGCCAATCAAGTGTGCAATATTCTCAGTATGCTCGGCGTGCTTGGTGCTTACCACTATTAATAATAAGTAAGGGTTAACAAAGCAGGCGTGGAGTATTGTGCAGGCAAGGAGCTCTCATCGTTTGTTGTGCTCAAAGCCGGCAATTGAGTAACGAGTTAGGCCATGCATTGGGTTGTACCAACCCCTTGAATCTTGATATCCCATCCATGATTCCTGTCTTGGTTTTGAGATTTACAGCAAACATCCACTGTTTGCGTAACTCATTCTCAGAAAACAGCATTATGTTCTGACAGCGGTTGTTGAGACTAGTAGTCCACGACACTCAGGACTTCACGCTTCTTCCTTCTTCTTTACTAGCTTTATGGCTAACTGTTGAAGTTGGGTAATCACGAGCTTAGGAATGAACTGGGAGATTGAATATTGGATTGTAACTATCAAGAAAGAGTTCCAATATATATATCTCGAGCTCAGTAATCCGCTTGGTCTTGGTGAGCATATCTATGCTTAATATTGACCCAAGCTTCTGTTATGGGATGAGTTGGCATCAAGATCGAGGTCTTGGTCAACTTGGCGAGCAGGGACAATTAAAGAACCTCATAAGGATCAATTGATCGTCAGAGACATAGATCGTGCTCATGAGCTCCTTTCTGCAACACTAACCTGTTACAAGCCACATAACAAGACGACTAGAGGCATAGGGTAGACTAGCGCACTACACGCTATAGGACTAGGAAGCTGTCCCAGTAAGGATCTAGGAGATCTTGTTGTCCTCCCCGCCTTGTAAGTAGAGGGATTTGACATGTTTTAGACTACGTAGCCTCAGCTGTAGGCCTCTGGACAGGTAATGCTTTACCTACTTCTAGCTTTTCAGCTAACCCCCTAACCAGAGACAAAGAGGTCCAGTGTAGGGCGGTGTTAGGACGCAAGTCTAGTTGCACTAAGCTATTCAAGGTGACAGCAATCACATGCTGTCAAGATGGAGTAACGTGACGCAATAGGTACATGCACCGAGATTACTGGAATCTGGGCAAGTTATCTACCGGAATCCCATTATCAAAAATCTCCTGATCTGCATCAGGGATGCCGAATCCTTCTCAGATCGACTGTAATGAACGGGACATTTGGAACTATTAGCGTTTGTAAAAGAACACTGAGATTCAAATTCGAATGTTCAGAGAACTGAAAGTTTGCAGAGAACTGAAAGTTTGGCCAACGCCGTATCGTGACCACCATGAGAATTTGCAGAATTACACTTCGGGAGGGACTTTTTCTTTTCGCCAAAATCGCATAGGTGAAGCAGGAGAAGGGATTACTCCAGACTGTAGGTCTAACGGAACATGTACCATGTACACAACGGGGTGGCAGATGGCGATTCGTGATTCGCGCGCGAGACCCAACGTCTGATGCAGCTCTCAGCGCCAGTGTCTTGCCATGGGAAAGGGGACAAACCAGTGGGAACGACGATTGGTAAGGGAGTCCCGGGGGAAATGCCGCAGATTGCAAATGGCGTAACTACGGTGGTATTGTCGAACATGACGGCATACCTCCCGCTCGGTCGGATGCAGCCGTGGGTCTGGCGCACGAAAAAGTTCAAACAGGACAGGACGAGAGTTGTCAGGCTGAAAGGCTCTGCTCTGGACTGGCATGGCAGGTTCAAGTTGGACATTTATTGTACATCAGTCAGAAGTGATTGACATGGCCCAGGCCCCATGGGACTGGGCTTTACCAGGACCAGCAAGCTGGCTGGAAGTCTTCGCACAAGATGGGATGGGACAGGAATAAACAATAGATACTAGCATGCCAGCCAATGGCAAGGAGTGCCGCTTTCTATTCTATCCAAGAAAGGGATTGGGATTGTGTCCAAAGTGCACAGCCTCAAATGTTGCGCTATACTGTGTACTATGTGGTTGGGCGTCGGGGATCGGCGCATTATTTCCGCCGATGCACAAGGTTCTTGTATACGGTTAACCGCAGCACCGTGGTAGGTACAACCAGGAAGAGCCAGGACTGGCAGTGTTCTTGGTACGTACTGTAAGTGTAGCATATGTACTACATGTTATGTGCTATGCAGTGTGATGGCAAAGACTGACCTGTGACAGGATGACTACTTGGTAAGCAGGTTACGACTCGGTCTTATCGCAGCCCTAGCATTGTTCGGGTGTGTGTGTGTGTGTGTGGGTGAAGGTATGGAAGTGAGTTTACTACTGACATGTGTGTATGCATCATGGCCATGGCATGCATGTACTTTTATGCTAGGTATTTGCTAATTGACACTACAGTAGGATTTGTCTACCACAATACATGGCGAAAGGGCGTGCAACTGTTTCGAGTATAGTCTCGCCCAAGAGGTCAACAGCCGGACAGTGCTGGGCAGCCTGAGAGGCATGAGAGGCATAAGGGGCACGGATTTGCGCCCATGTAGACCGACTGGGTATAACCCTCTCCCTTGCTATTTCTGGAAGCGCGACTCCGCCTCAGTGTGAAACGCCTCCAGCGGCCGAACAGACGGCCCAGCAAAAGAAGGCTGCAGCCCTCTCGGACGACCAACCTTTCCTCTTGTTCTCGACCGCCCACTCGACTGAACAAACTGTCCGACACTTTGCGCCGACCGTATCCCTTTGCAATCTACCACTACTCTCTACCCACCTACAGCACAACCATTGCGAGCAACAGAGACAGCCAACGTGCCCAAGTCGACAGCTGGCAGTTTTTGGGCTCAGCCACACAGCCACACAGCCACAAAAGCCGGCAAAGCCGGGACCAGACACGAGCTGACGACGACTCTTGAGCAGCCTAACCCCACTCGTCGACCATCGAGTGCCCGCGACCACCGAGCACCGATTACAGATCACAACACCCCCAACCTTCACCATCGCCGTCTGTTCAAGGCAAACGGAGCCTTCATCGCGTACACATCGACCGTCACCACCCTCACGACCCCACCATGGCTACCGCAGTGCAGTCGGCTATGACGATGCAGCCTTTCAACGCACACGCAAACCAATGCATCGACCCCGATCAGGACATTTTCGACTTCAGTCAGTTTGCTGAGACCGCGCCGACCTCTGCGCACCTAAAGCGCGAATCCATCAGTGTCTCTGCCATGACGAGCCCTACCACCACCGCCATCGACGACGAGCTGCAAACACCCGCGAAACCGAGCCACGAGTATGAGCGATTCAAGCAGCAGACAGGGATTCCCTCGGGCTCGCTCGCAGGACTCGGAGCCGCATATAACACGGGCTTTCCCATGTTCAACAACAGTGGACTAGACCTCATGGGCACTGACTCTGCCATGGATGGGGCTTGGAACACTGGCTTGCCTCTCGAGTCTAACGTCAACATGGGCATGGACTTTCAACAACCTGGCTACTTCTTCAACGACGCTTCGCAGGATGACTTTGTGGACCCAAGCGCCATCCAGCAAGAGGAGGTGCCCAACGTCAGGGTGTGGCCTGGCATGCATCAACAGCAGGCACAACAGGCAGCCCTTGCCAAGGCACAGGCACAGGCTCAACAGCAGCGCGCACAGCAACTCGCACAGCAAAAGCAACAACAGTTGATACAACAACAGAAGCAGCAGCAACAACAGCAACAGCAACAACAAACTCAACATCAACGCTTACCATCGACCAGCCAAGCAAGCAGAAAGCTATCCAGTCCTCTCAGCGATGCACGTACGGAAGAGACAATCGCGCGTGTTGTTGCTCAGATCCGAGCGGACAGTCAAAACGCCTCGAACAACGGCATGGACGGCAACCAGGGTCTCCTTCCCCACGTCATCCGTGCCAAGAAGGACGAGGAGGACATGGACGAGGACGAGAGGCTTCTCGCTTCCGAGGAGGGAAAGAAGCTCAGCTCAAAGGAGCGCCGCCAACTCCGTAACAAGGTCTCTGCTCGCGCTTTCCGTTCGAGGAGAAAGGGTGAGTTCAAATGAATTTCTCCATTACTACATGGAAGCTAACGAAAAATAGAATACATTGGCCAACTCGAAGGTGAAGTCGCTGTCAAGGTCCAGGAGGCAAATGAGCTCCGCAACCAGAACCGTCTCCTGATGGAGGAAAATGCACGATCTCGTGCTTTCATTGAACGTCTGCTCCGCCACCAAGCTTTCGGTCCCTTCCTCGAGGAGCTGTCTCGCGACGAGGCTCTGCAACCCAAGACAGCCATGACCACCGTCCCTTCATCTGCTCCTGCCGCCGCCGCTCCCGCATCTGCGCCATTCCCAGCCCAACAGTTTGGCGCTATGCCGCAAGAAAACACCCGCGTTGGGATGACCATGGTTCCTGAACCCCAACTTGACTTCTCGACGCTTAACATCAACAATAACGGAAATAACTGGGCCTCCAACAATGGTTTCAACTACCAACAACCCCGTGTCTTCGCCGTCCTTGAGGTACCAGAGGGCCCAAGTAACCCTCTTGACACCGAGGCTATGTCGGGCAAGGGCTACAGCGCCATCTTCAACGCCGAGGATGACTGTCCTGCGGACGAGATCAAGCCCGACTTTCCTGTTATCGAGCGTCCGATCGAGTCTACTGCCACCATCATGACCGAAATGGAAGACGACTCCGAGTTTGACCTGTACAGCTTATCGCCCACCCGCTCTGCTTCTACCGCCAACCCCAACGCCACCGCTCCTGCCGCTCCCGAAGACCACGAGATCCTCTTTGCCAATCCTGAAAAGGCGCTTGCGCACTACTCACTGGTCCTTACGGACGAGGCACAAGAAGCGCTTCTAGACGAATGTCTGGAGCGGAGAATCGCCGCCATGGAACCAGTATTACAACGTGTAGCCGCCATCACCTCGATGTTTGATTTATAAATCCCCCTAGTCTGTGGACACAAAGCAATATCATAGCCACGTTCGTAACACCATTCTCCCCCATCTCACTTTGGCGCAAACAGTGAATGGCAAGCGATCTTCTTCGAAACTTTTGTGTGTTGTTAGTGGCACATGCGAAAGTCCCTAGAATGCACGAGACTTTTATTTTCTTCGTTGGGATGACTTGAGACGATTTCATTTGTTAGGTTCATATTCACCATATGAGCTTCCTATTACCCACTCCATATATATACATATATATACACACATGTACCCAAGCTGGTCGTTCGGATAACCAGCTCGGACGTTTCCGAGGCGGCTGCTTTTCTTTTTCGCTTGTCGGTCGGTTCGTTGGTCAGAGCCTTGGTCCTACCGTTTTAACACTGGAGCTGGGATTTCTTTTCCTATGTTTGGGTCTGCTGCCTTCGTACAAGCAATTACTTTCGCGGTGAGCACTGTGGTGGATGGGGGTGTTCGGGGTTCAGGTGCCTGTCTCTTTTTCTCCTTTCCTTTCTTTCCTTTCCCTTTTTTTCTTTTTTTTCTTTTTTTCCTTTCCGTCCTTCCTTTTCCCTTGTGAATATTGGGATTTTTCGCATGCGCTAGTCGAGTCTGTGGTATAGCGAGGCGCGGCTGTAGGTAGAGCGACTCAAGTTGGTTCTTTTATGTAGAAGAATGGAGGACGTGGGACATATATAGCATTACCTTGTTACATCTTTTTGTGATGGTGACTGCGGGGGATTGAGATTTTGGGATGTGCTTGTGATGTCGTGATCAATGCCTCTGTCTCTTTCCTCGTCTGAAATAAAGACCTACTGGTATGCCAGGGCACGGCACAGTTGAACATCATTTGGCAATATTCAAAGAACGAACTGTGGTTGTTTCTTTCCTAATTCAAGGTTCTCGCTAAGAAGTGCGTCGAATGTGCAGGTGTTGTTGTATCTCCCCTCTTGACAAGATGCAATAAAGTACGAGATTCACTACTGTGTCATCTTGCGGATTCCACCATGTGGCATACGTCCCAGCTTATTTCTCCAAAATATCCAATAGTGGCGAGGAAACAAGGGCATGACCAAGGAGGAGATTATGGAAGTCATAGTTTGCGGTATGCGGGGTGGATGGATATGAAGTTAGACGGTGAATTTGAAAACAATAACTGCTGACTATTCGCATCTCTGACTGTCTGGTATCAAGCCGCAAAAGCATATTCCCCTACTCTCCCTCCCCCTCTCTTACCGCCTTGAAACGCCTGTAAACCATATAAATAAACCATGGTAAATGCATGAGAAACGCCGGCCTGTGCTTTCCAGTTCCCAGTCCCTATCCCTATTTCTCATCCCCTGACCCATCTTCCTTGACTTCATCCCCGTATCCCGTATCCATCACCCCTGACCCCTCTGCTTTCTACCTCTTCTACTTCGTCATCGCGCCCTCCATAGCTTCGGCACCAACACCGCCCGACAACGCATTCCTAGCCCGTGCATGTTGCTGCGTCCATCTGTTGCGGGCGCCGTCGATGGCGGCGCCTTCTTTGGAGGCGACGATTGTGGTGTAGGAGATTGCGAAGACCATGAAGCCAGTTAGGGCGGGGAGGTAGGATTTGGCTGCTACTGGCATGGTGGGTTTGTGTGTGGGGTGTAGTTGATTTGTTGGTTGGTGGTTGATAGTGTTTTGTTGGAGTTCTTTGTTGGTGTTTGGTAGTTGTAGTAGTTATTTGGATGTTAGATGTTGATGTTGGCTTATTTCAGTAGATGGTAGATGGTAGATTGCAGTAATGTTTGTCTGCGTCGTTTGATTGATGTAATGATAAAAGATACTTCTATACAAAAACAGCGACACTCACCTGCCTTATATCCTCCCATGCCTAACATGAAGCCATAGAGCAGCCCCCTCACGGCCTCCGCCGACGAAACCAACAACCCGTCTACCCAAACGAAACACGGCACCAACATTGCGTGACCACCCCCCGCAACCATAGAACCTTCCACCCATCCACCCAACCCGGCGCGCCCATCCCCGAAACCAGGCGACCGGATCGTGTGAGACGCAAAATATGCCAGACATATGATTGGCTAGGCCGTGGGAAATCAAAGTCGCATCGTCTGAGGCTGATGATGGGAGGCAGGTGTTGGTGGCGAGACCAACGCGAGGTTTTTGGTGGCGCACGGGCGGCGCCGGGTTGGATGGCGTGGGGTGATGTGTTGTGTGCAATATCGGTCGTACGATAGTACGCTGATTTACGGCCCGGGAGGGTTCAGCGTCATTGAGGACTTGTCTTTCTTTGGGAGAAAATAAGATGGAAGAGGATAACGTGTAGGAAGTGATGTGCAAAGTTCTTTTTGATGATGTTGAAAATGTAAAATCGCGAAGTGTGCAAGATTGACTTATGTTGTCCTGCTTGTTCAGTTGAACGTTTGGGTTACTACCGGTACAGTATTTGCTCGTCCGAGTCTTTTTTCTACCAGATCAGACTTCTTCAGCCCCTTGCAAGGCAAGAAAGCACACTTGTTCGTTTTGTATTTGAAATAAGATACACTCACTAGTATAATCTCCCAGATTTTTTCAATAATCACAAGCCCCTGATCGATTGCTTAACGTATCCCTCACGATGCGCACACTCCTCACCAATGTGCAGGGCAATGCTACCTACCATGTACGCGCAAATTCAATATCCTCTCACCGCCGGCTACAATCGACAGAGCAACTTGGCCCTCCTCCTCTTCCACACCACGCACCACGCACCACGCCCCGTCCCAATCCGCCCGCTCGACAGCCCTTCCGCAAAAATGCTGATCTGAACTCTCTTTATTCAAAGTAAAGAATTAGTTAAAAATCAACCTCGAACCTCCACAAATCCTAAACTTCCCCAAGTCTTGGAATCCCTGTGTGGCAACTTGACCGGCGCGTTGGAAGGTGTAGCGTTGGACTGCGTACCATCGGATTATCGATGAGCATGGCCAGCAAGATACCCTTGATCATCACATCACGCATACGCCATAACAAAGTTGATCAAGCCTGATTTGATTCTGCGAATTAGCTGCTCACGAGGCAGCCGAAGCCAGAGGGACACGTTCAGGTATTAACTATACATAGAGGGTATCATCTCCCAAACCGCTTGTCAATCTCGTCACGTTTCAAGCTTGTCAAAGCCAAGCACATGCACGCCCCAGTTCATCAATGTTTTGATCCTTCAAAGACGCCAATCGCTAAATTACCCACATATTACAAGAACGACTAGAAGGCATAGAGGCCGCGCATGTTCCAAATCGCTTCATCAATCATGCTCGGAGTCCACTCGGCACCCGTCATCTGACCAGCAATGCTCTCCCTCTTGTCCCGTGACAAGACGAGGAAACGCTCAATCAGATCACCATCAATGACACACTTTACCGGAGCAAAGTAGCTGCGGTAGGCCAAGTGGTCACGACCTGAAAGCGGCTTGTCGTCTTGGCGAAGCTGCAACTCCAGTTGTTGGAACATCTTGTGTTGTCGCCGAGAATTGAACGGAATGAGAGCGCCCAGAGTGCCTTGCAGACCGGCCCAGAAGATGATGCGCTCACCACCTGACAGCAGGACCGTCTTCTGTATCGAAACGGGAATGTCGTTGGCGAAGTAATGTGCAACAAGATCAAGGCGGTTGGGCGTGCCACCGAGAAAGCTCTTGTCCACAAGCAGGTCGGACCCATCTGGTGATTCGTCTGAGGCCTCTGAGACCTTCGGAGGACATCGTACCAGCCAGATGTTACCAAACTTGTCGCCGCCTACCGTGGTTTCGTAGTCCAACATGTCGGAAGCAGAAGTATGGCGAGGGACAGTGTCATCAGCGAAAGGAATTAATCGGTTAGGATGAACTTGGTCCTTGTGTACGACGTATGTGACGGACTGTGCCTGATCAGAGACAACTAAGCGACTTCCTTGTGTCTTGATATCTGTGATGCGTGTCGCAACGCAGTTAGGAGCCTGTGCCTTTCGCAGTACCGACTTCATGCCGCAGTCGTACAGGCATAAATGGCGTCCTACACCAGCAATGAGTTTGCCCTTAAAAGCAAGTAGTGCAAGAGGAGGCTCGCCGACTTCGGTTTCGTGGAAGAACTCGAACTCACGTCCGTTTGGAGAAATCTTATAGATCTGAATAGAGGCGCCAGAGTACTTGTAAGGTGTGAAGCTGAGATCCTTAGCAGTACCGACAGCCAAAAACGCATCTTCGCCACGGCTCTCAAAGAAGACGAGAGCAGCACTGACAAGAGATTGGTTTGTTTTGAGTTCAATCGTGTGCGTAACAGCCTTCTCACTGACCGGATCGACTGCCTGGATGCATGATGCCCATCTGCCCTGGGCTCGTGGATAGCCAAAGTCGACTGCTGGCAGCTCGTCGCTTTCCTCCGTGCCATTCGTGGCCTCGCCATTACCATTCTCATCCTGCTTACTGGCTTTCTGAATGAGGTTCTGTCGTGTGTCTGCGTTGAGAGTATTGCATTCACTTTCGATGATGTAGAAGATTCCCTGTTCGTGATATCCGACCATCTTCCTGGGCGTGTACTTGAGTGGGATGTTTTCATAAGTCGTGTTGTCGGTCAAGTCGTTGAAGGTGAAGATTCTATCACGTGTCAGTCTATCGACTCTAACTGTTCGTAGATGATCAGGTGGGGAAAATGGAAAAGTTATTGCTTTCAGCAGGAACAATTGGAAAATGTTATGGCCCTCAGCGTGTTTAGGGAGTACGATGTATCATCATTGCAATATAAGAAATAGGGAGCAAGGGATGCGTACCGCAGTTCATTGGCGCTCACACAGATGATACCTTTGAACTGAGAGCCATCAAAGTTCCATGCGGACTTGAAAGCAATGTAGTTCAAGGGTGTCAGCTGAAGCACGCCAGTTCTTGGATGAGTGTAGCCTAGCCAGGGCCTGGAGGTCATTGCAAGGATGGCGGGTTCGCCTGCCACAGTAACCTTTGCAAATTTGATGGGCTCAGGGCCGAGAAAACGTCTTCGCGTGTCCCCAATGTCGCCAGTCATCTCGTCAAGGACGGAGCGTATGTAGACGCCACTTCGCAGGCCGATGTGTAGGAATTGACTATACCCGCGTGGCGACTTGTCCGACATTAAATTGATCGTCAGGTCGCTGGGCGGTGATGTTAGCGCTTGTACCGAAATACTCCTCAAAATGTTACCCTCCATATCAGGGCTCAAATTGAAGATTCTGACGGTTTGATCGCTGCAGCCGACAGCGAGAAAAAAAGCACGAACGCTACCCTCTGGCACGTCCGGCATCGCAAGACAGTTGATAGTACTGTCTAGGGCGATCTCTTCCTCGGCCATAGCGAGCGAGCCGTCTGAGTCGCATTCGAAGTATAGAATTTGACCAGAGCTGAGCGCAATTGCAACCTGCCGGTTATTTGTTGCGCATGCTACAATTGTACGATGAGCGGGAGGTTGCCAATCAGTGAGGCTTTGGTGAGTCGCGTTAGCATCATTGTCCGGGAATTGAATCCCCTGGATATGACGGATACCCTTGGGATGGATCTGGATGATACAGTCTTCTCCAAATTGCTGAACACCAAGCGTGTTGGTGTCCGGAAGGAAACCAGTATTTGATGCCTCCTCTACATCATCGCCAATCTTGAGTACAAGCGTTCTGCTGTGCAGGCACAGGACGATGAGTGTATCAGTCTCATCGTCGCTGGTCAACTTGGTTGTCCACACATCAGAGGCGTTTTGAGGCAACGGCGATTCAATGAGATCAAGGACTTCCAACGCATTCCTCGTGGACCGGAAAGAACTCCGACCACCTGTGCCATTGATTGTGTAGATCTGTGGTGCATCCTCCAACGCGGGATTGGCAACCTCCATGCCCATGATGGGGTTGAGACTGGGCATCTGCTCCACTGCAGTCAAGTTCGTTAAGGCTCTCGGCTTAAAGTATGGAGGAGCAAATTTTGCATCCGTGTCAACGGGGAATTGATCGCTTGAGAAGAGAGGATCTTCGGTTTCGTCACCGAGCGATTCCAGTTCGTACAGTATCCGGTCCCCAGATTCACAAGCAGCATATACGAATCCTGCCCGAAGGATGCATATACTAGTACACACTGGTATAGTGTCGAAGTACTTGATCTTGATCTTCTCGACCTTGCCATTAGAAGCCTCAACAGTAAGCTTGAAGACATCACCGTCCTCCGTCTGGAGAAGGTAGAAGAAATCGCCGCCCTTGAGAGAATAGAGGGTACCAGCAACGATCATGCGCTTTCGATTAGGATCTTCAGTGGGTCCCTCACGTCGCGGGATCGCAAGGCGGTGGACGTTCTCTTTTTGGTTGAATATGCGACGATATGTAATGTTGTCTTCACCGCAGACAAGGACTCCACTGGGAGCATTGGCACCTCCTGGCACTCGGAACAGAGTGTTGGCCGTGCGATCAATTGGTTCTGACCACTTCCGAACAATGTGGTTCAACCCAAGATCTAGCTCATAGTACACGACCTCCTTTTTGATCTCGTCGTAAGCCTCTCCACTCGGATCTGTCTCTGAACTTGAATAATCCACCTCGATACTAGCGAACATTGGGTTGTCATACCCAACATCAAGTCCGATAAGGCAGTACACGAGGGTTTGTGGTTTATGTGCCTCTAGTGGGGACGAGATGGCGATATCGGTCTGACCGCTTCGGGTGAGGATGTAGACCAGCTTGTTCTTCTCCGTCGAAGCAAGCATAATGGCGCGCCCTTTCGGGTCGGCAGCCAGGTACTCGCCAGGTACGACGCGTCGTATTCCAGACTTGCCATACGTTTCGAAGTGCACTGTCTTAAAGGCGTGCTCATCGGGCAGATACTCGTATGTTACTAGCCTTCCAGAGTCGGTGGTGATGACAATGTGGTCTATAGAGTCAGCAGATGTTCTTGTCAATAGCAATGGTCCAGTCCTCTGCGCTCAGGGAACGGCGAGCTCGGCGGTCCCGTGTGCTTTGGAAAATCACTAAACTGGCTTATAGCATGCAGCGAAGGCGAGGACATACCCTTGGTACCACCAGCAATTCTGAACTTGGCTATACGGCGCACAATCCCAAACATGTCTTGTGAATACAGCTCTTGGAAACCTTTCTGCCGCCGTGAGACCTCGAGGATTGCGAGTCGAGAGCCATTTGCAGTGAGGATTTGCTGCTTGCCGTTTCCCAGGAAATCACCGGAAATAGCATCCTGCGTAGCCGACGGGTGTTTGACCGTCAAAGCATACAAGGACATGGTCGAGAAGCTCGTCATGGTGGGCAGAGGTGGGCACTGGCCCAGATACTATGCGCGCGTCGGCACTCAAGAGAAACGTCTTAGTATCTTCGAAATAAATCAGAACCCAACGCAGCGGTCATAGAATAAGAGTAATTTGAAAATGTTGGCGCGCGCTGCAGTGGGGGAGACTGCAGTGAAGAGCTCGTAGGAGGGTGAATGTAAAGATTGATTTCGAGCTGCCCATAGCTCCGCCCGGCGAAATGTTACGCCGCCGCAGCCAATGAGAGGACAGCCCCACCAAAAAGTTCGAAAGTTGCATGCGAATCGCTTTGGAGCGTGCAAAGCGCAGAAGCAGACTTCACGACAAACTGCCAACTCGAAAAATGAAGCGGAAAGTAGGAGCTCTCGAAAAGATTGAGGCAGACCACGCTGCGCTCCGCTTCAAAATCAAGCGTGACCCACAGAGTTATCGCGATGACTTCAGCAACCAGTATCAACAGTACCAGACACTGCGCGACCTCTTTCTGCAGAGCCCAGGCACCACAGACACTGGCATCGTCGCGCTGAAGGACCTGGTCGAATTCATCTCCCACACGGCCGATTTGTATCCAGACCTTACAGCCCAGTTTCCCAAAGACTTGACCGAGATTTTGCTGCAACATCATGAAGTACTGGAATATGAACTGAGGGACAAGATTGTGGGCAGTCTGGTGCTCCTCAAGAACAAAGATGTCATAGATTCTATAACGCTTCTAAACACGCTCTTTCCCATACTCATTGCCACTCCTAGCAAGTCTCTGCGTCAGCTTTTATTCACCAAGATCCTCTCCGACCTGCGATCGGCCAATGCGAAGACGACAAACCACAAACTCAACCGAACCATCCAGACCGTGCTATATAATTTGTTAGAGTCGGACAAGGAGTCGCCAAAGGGCATTTGGGCAGTCAAGATTACTCGGGAGCTATGGAAGAAGCAGATATGGACCGACGCACGAGCAGTGGAGGTCATGCGTCTTGCAGCCCTGAGCGAGAATGAAAAGGTCGTTGCTGGTGGTACGCGCTTCTTTCTGGGTGGCGACAGGGAACGGGAGGAGGCAGCGGAAGATAGCAGTGACGATGACAACGATGTCGACATGGCACGACTACGTCACCAAGCTGGCATCAACAAGAAGACCAAGAAGAAGGCGCGAGAGCTGAAGAATGCAGCTGTCAGTCTCAAGAAGAAGGAAAAGAAGAAGAATGCGCCACATCCACTGAACTTCTCGGCCTTGCATCTTCTCCATGACCCCCAAGGCTTCGCCGAAACTTTGTTCTCAAAACATGTGCAAAACTCAAAGGTCAAATTTGCTCTCGAGACCAAGCTTCTAGTCCTACAGCTCGTATCTCGCTTAGTTGGTCTACACAAGTTGACGGTATTGTCACTGTACTCGTACTTCCTTAAGCACCTCACTCCACGACAAGCCTCAGTCACGAGTTACCTTGCGTGTCTCGCGCAAGCCACTCATAACTATGTCCCTCCCGATGTTCTCGAGCCTCTAGTTCAAAAGATTGCAAACGAATTTGTATCAGAAGCTTCGGCGTCTGAGGTTGCCGCAGCAGGGCTGAATGCCATTCGCGAAATCTGTGTACGGCAGCCGCTGGCAATGACTGACACCCTGCTACAAGACTTGGTCATGGTATGTTGGCTCAGAATCCACTTGTCCAGACAAGCGCTAACGCTTCTTAGTATCGTAAATCAAAGGACAAGGGCACGATGATGGCCGCCAAAGGTCTGCTCTCCCTGTACCGTGAAGTCGGTGCCGAGCTCCTCAACAAGCGTGACCGTGGCAAGGACGCCGCAATGGGCATCCGGGCCGGCACCATCAAGGAGCGCCGCTACGGCGAAGAAGAAGTTGGCGGTATCGAGGGCATCGAGCTCCTCGAAAAATGGAAAGCAGAGGAACGCCGCAAGCAACGCGAAGCCGCTGGTCTGGACCCCGACGGGTCCGATGGCCAGGAAGAGCTCGACGCTGCCGAAGACTGGAAGAAATGGGAAGTTGAATCCGACGACGAGAGTGACGACTCTGGTGGCTGGATCAACGTCGAATCCGACGGCGAAGACATACAAATCAGCGACAGCGAAGACGAAAAAGACCAGGCCAAACAACCACCAACGAAGAAAGCCAAACTGGGCAATACCCCTACACCCGTTCCCAACCCCGAAGACGAAACAACCCAACCCCCCCCGACTTCGACCTCGACCTCCAAACTCCTCACCACCACCATCCTCACCCCCGCCGACCTAAAACAACTCCAAACCCTCCGCGCAACCACCTCCCTAACCAGCACCCTTCCCTCGCACAAGCGCGCCCAACTCCTCGCCGCCCGCCACGCCGACGAAGCCATCACGGCCGAGACGATTGAGCTGGCGGCCTCGATTGGCAAGAAATCGACAAAGGAAGAAAAGATTGCAATGGCAAAGGCCGACCGCGAAACCAACCACCAGTCGACAACGGCCAAGCGCAAGGAGAAGAAGCTGGCAGAGGGCAAGAGCACGACGAACAAGGAAAAGGCGCGCAAGAAGAACTTTATGATGACGTTGGGCAAGGCAAAGAGTAAGAATAAGAGAAGTTTGGGCGATGTCAAGAAGACGCTTTTGGGGCATGTTGAGCGGAAGAAGAGGGGTGGGAAGAGGGGGAATAAGGGGAATTGAGGGGGTGGGAGGAGGGTTGGGTGGGTAGGGAAGGAAGGAAAGGGACAGCGAAGATGGAAAGGAGGTACGCGAGTCTTGTCTGTTGTGCATTCTTTGTTAGACTGGGGGTTATGACACTTACCCCCCCAACTGCTCGCATCCAAATGAAATGAAAATGGAAAAAAATCGTACCCATCCAAACAACTCCCATGACACAAACCAGCACAGCTTACCAAAAACTCACAATCCACAGTCCACAATCCACATAAAAAACCACACATCAAACACGAGGAGGAAAGCAAGAGGATGGTCATCAAAGACAGACACGGCAGGCAGCCGATATCATTCCACAACCGTCCCAGGAGTCCACAAGCTATAAGAGCCAAAGAAAAAAGGGACCCTGATAATCTCTGCATACTGTCTACTGCCTTGCCCCGCCTTCACGCCTGTATTCTTGCAAAATGTGGGTACTCAAGTGGAAGTGGGAAATTCGCCAAGACAAAAAGCCTGGTGGTGATTTTGTGCAATCACAACCACAACCACAACCGCAACCACAACAGCCTTCATCGCTCGGGGATATCGTACAATCAAAATCCATCTCACACGTGACCAAACGTGCACTTTCCCTCCTTCTCTCCTTTCGAAACACGGTACACTCGAGACGCTGGGGTGCATGAGATTTGGTGTCCATGTTTGTAGTGAAGTGTTGAAGCCCTAGTTGACGGAGTCGGAGACGACGTCGGTGGGTGGTGCATCTTGCATGTTGGTGTCTGAAGATGGGGTGTGGGCTTTCTTGGAGCGACCGCGACCTCCTGGTGGATTCTGGCCTTGGGCTTCTTCGTCGTCTGCAGACGCTTCCGGTTCTTCTTCCTCTTCCTCTTCTTCTTCTTCTTCTGCACTTGGAACTGCCTCTTCACCACAACCATCCTCTGTCTTGTTCGTGAAAACATCAGCGACCCCAACCCCACTCCCATCCTGCCACATCCCTGCGCCCGCGGACAACAAGTCTCTCATCTGCGAATCCATCGTAGTCTTGGTAGGCTCTGCCTGCTCCACCGTCTGCGACTGGCCGCCGCCTTGCCAAATCTCACGCAGCGCAGCTCGAGCCGCATCTTGCGCCGTAGGTGGGGCAACAACCGCAGACTTCTTCGCATTCACATCCTTCTTCCTCATTGCCCGCTGTTTCCTAGCAGCGTCCGCCTCGCTCTTCTGCCAGGCTGCAAAGCGCTGGTTCTGGACGGACACGAGCATAGAGAGATCTTGTCGGAGACCACGTTGGTCGCGGGACTTCGAGTAGATCTGTAGGAGGGAGGTGATTAGAATGGTGTTGTCGATGAGGTGCGTGAGTTCGATCGGGATGGTGGAAGAAGCGGGGGCGATGAGGTGTTGAGAAATTGCTGGGTTCTGGGAACTGTCGCGGAAGACGGGTATTTTGCCTTTCTTATGAGCAAAGAGTGGTTGGGTTGCCGAAGTAGGCGCAGAAGTATTCGTAGATCCTGGTGTAGCGTGGTACCTCTGGGTGGGCGTTGGCATGATGCTGTTGATGATAGACGCATGCTGTGTTGTAGACGCGAGATTGGGCGTGGGAAGTACATTGATACCTAGGGTTGAAGGATTAAGTTTCATCTGAGACATGGAAGAGGTGAGAGTCTTACGTGCTCCACCATCAACGATTGGTTCTTCAGACTCTGAACTGCTGGTCTCATCAGGATCGACGTTGGAAAGCGACCGCTTGCATGGGGTAGGCTTCGAGAACTCTCTCACATACTGGATAGCCTTCCTACGAAGGAAGACCTCGCTCTGAGCGGGCAACTGAATTGCAGTAGGCACCTGGACACCGTGCTGCTGCATGAACGAAGCGAACGTCGGATTGGTGACCACGCGGTTCGCAAGAAAGCGTGCTGACATGGGGAATTGCACCTCGTAAGGAACAGCCCGCTTGGCTGGTGCAGGTACCCCACCCAGCTGTGTCTCTGTCGCAGCTGCAACTCTTGCGTTGATCGCGCGGTATATATCTTGGCTTTGGTGACCGGTGAATATGGTACCTTGGGCAGGCTGAGGAACAACGGCGGGCTTGAACTGCTGGTGGCTGTGCAACTTCCTATGCCCATTGTCGACGAATTTGTGCGGCTCAATTTTCTGCTGCTGCTGGTGCTTTCGCTTCGTGCTCTTGGTCTCGTTCGGTGCCTGGGATGACTTTTCGGACGGCGAGTCCTCAAGCATGCTGATCGGGTTGTTCACGCTGCCTGCCATACCGTGAGGTTTTGGCGCCAGGACTTGACGGACTGGAAGAGGTCCCGGATCATGCTGAACCTGGTTCTGGAACTCATTGTTAGTAGTGGTCATCACGAGGTTCAATGTGCTGCAAGCTGGAGGTGTCGAAGGTGTGCTGAAGCTGTGCTGGCTGCTGGTTGAAGTGGAAGGTTCTGGTGTTGGAGTCAAGGATTCAAAAGTTTTTATGTTTGTGTAAACGATACGACTCGTCCCGTTTGCAGATTGCGTGACTAATGGCTTGGTTGGGGATTTAGTCGTAGCCGCTACAGCGTTTGCTATTGTTCGTCGTGTAGTGACCATGACCTTCACCCTTGGATAAACGATTGTGTCAACGGTAATTTCAATACTGAGACGACAATAACATGACTTCACCTTGATAGAGAACAAGGTATGCGTACAAGGTTGTTGCAGCCTAAATTCCCGTGGTCACAGTGTTGGTGGTTATTGTTTCAGTGACTGGATCGAGTTTCATGATGTGAAGATCTGCGAGCAGGCGGTGGGGATGAGCCGGACAAGACGCAGCATGGAAGAAAGAGTATCCATATCTCTGCAGTCCTCGCTGGTGAAGGAAGAATACTATGCTGTCTGTATAGTAAGGAAGGTACGGGATGGAGGAGAAAGCGCTCGTGTTGGTGGCTAAGAAGGAAGGAGCGGTGTATGTTGAACGCAAAACGTCCATCTTCGTGCAAGAGAGATTCTGGAAGGATTCCAAGATTCAACTGTTCAAGTTTGATGGCCCTGGGTGCTCATCGAATCAGTGTTGATCCCTCTGGAGTGTGACGAAGGACTGTGAAGGATCTCCTCATCTTATCCAGCTCTGAAGCGAGTTAGAACCGGGGAAAACCTTTAGGATGTGTTCAAAAATGTGCGCAAATACACCAACTCCTCAGCATCATCCACCTCATTGACCACCCGGTCAATGGCACCTTCATCCCAGGCGAAACCACGCCAAAGCAAGACACCCAGATCTCTCATCACCTTGACGTCTCTTAATCGACCGTCCAGCTCAGGCACAGCATCCAGCAAACGCATCCAGAAGAGTTCTCTCAGCTCAGCTGCAATGTCGAAGTACCTGAAGACTGCGTGTCCGCCGGGCTGTAGACAGCCATCTGAGAGGGGATTGTCCATGAAGCCGAGCAGATACTCCAATCCATAGAGACATGTACCAAATGGTAGCATCTCCGCTTCAGCCCAATCCACTAGTCCGGTGATTCTCCAAGTATCTTCGTCCACAAGGATGTTAGATGGTATCAAATCTCCGTGGTTGAGCACAACTGGATAGCCGACCATGCCGCAAACCGCTTTCAACGTTGCCTGTGCTCTGTTTCGAAGTGGCCAGTCGGGTAGCTCTGAAGCCAGCTTTCGAAGTCGGTTGATGATGCTGGAGCCTACTCTGCCTGTACATGATGGTAGCATGTCCGTGGCATCGTTCATTGGAGAGTCAGCGCGAGCGTTTCTAGACAGTGTCGCCTCCTTGGACGATGTCGACCAACTTTGCGCTATGATACTAGCAAAGTCAGCGATAAGTCTTTGAAGCTTTTTGCTTGCATCCGAATCCAAGGTGCGGCAGCGAGGTCGTAGTCGGCTCAACGGCGTGCCACGCAGCCTTTGCATTTCGTACGCATGCAGACCGCCAGGCAACTTCAAATCCAGATATCGTATCTTCGGTGCCAAACACCGATAGGTAGTACACGCCGCACGTGCAATCTCGAGATCAAGGGCATGTTGCCCTGGTCGAAGCTGAACAACAAGCTCCTTGCATCCGCTTCCTTCCAACCCGTCTCCAGAACCTGGACCACCCTCTTCGGACATCAACCCACCATCACGCAAACAAGTAACGTGAGTAACCAACAGGGTCAAACTGCAAAACCCCTGTTCCCCAAACTCTTCAATCTTGCACTCTCTATACACATTCCGCAGCAGCATCATACAAAACTCCAGATATCCGTCTGCGAATCCATGCCGTGTCGGCGTACTGTTACTCATCGAATTAGTAGGCGTGGATGTCAGGGTAGTTGAAATGGAAAGTGGAAAGGGAGATGTTCCTCCCTCGCACCTGTCGAACGACAAGGTACGGGTAGTGAAGGTGGGATGGGATGGTCACGGTAACTGTAGGGTAAAGCATGATCTGCGACCCCATCGCCCGCGACCAACCCGCACTGTTTCTCCTCATGGCTATGTGTAAGTAAGTAAAGTATGTGTGTGGGAGAGGGGGGCGGTATATGTGGTGGTGTGCAGCACTATGATCTGGTTCGCTGGGCAAGAAAGATGGGGGCGGGGAAAACAAGAAGCGTGGGGTGGCTGGGTGGCGGGTCAAGCGCTGTTGGTAAGAAAAGCAAAAGGGCATTACCTAGTTTAGACAAGGTAAAACAAGAATCCCTAGTTGGTCTGTCAATGAAGAGGTACCGGTAGCTTAATTATTCTTTTCTATAGTACTTTGTCCAAACAACACCAGCAATGTCGACTAGGCACCTATATACCGCGACACGACATGGCCAAAACAACAAAACACTTCCATCGTCCCTTTGGGTTCCCAGGGCTTGCTTTCCCGCGAATGCCGCCTACCCAATCCAGCCAATAGAAGAAATGGTATCACAACTGGTATCTATGTTCCTTGCCCTAGTTCTCCCTCCAAGCAACATCCCCACTCTCCAAATGTCCGTTCATTGGAAACATCGTCTGCGATTTACAATAGGGCAAAAGCGGCAAGAGCCACTGCACCGAGACTGAAGATCGACTGGCTGCTGAGAGTGGATGCAATGTTGGCTGTGGCCTGGGCAGGCGCGCTATCCGCAGTGCCGCTTCCCGCACCATCGGCACCACCCGCTGCAGCACCGCTGCCAGCGGATGGCGAGGGAGGAGTGTTGCCTGTGGAGCCGTTGGACGACGAGCCGGAACCAGAGCCAGAGCCAGAGCCCGATGCGGAACCAGGCGTGATATTTTCAGGCGCGGTTGCAGCGAGGGCAGTGAAAGAGGCCACGGTCCTGTTGCCAGATTCTGGACTATCGTGCTCGTGTCAGCTATAATGTCCGTAGGTCTGAGAACTGATCCAGGGCGGGCTTACGCGTTAATGGCACCGACCATGCCGGCCTGGCAATGCTGTCCCTGAGTGCAATAGTACCAGACGGGCCGCTCGTCCTTGACACGAATGGTGTAAGTGAGGATTTGGTTTGCTGAGGCGAGGGAGGCGTTCGTGGGCATGAAGCCAGAGAAGAAGGCGTCGGTGTTGTTGGACATGACGTTCTGGATGGGTACGCAGGGTTGGTCGAATGTGGATTGCGCGACTGAATGGTTCTGTTTCTCGAGTCAGTCATGTTCCTAGTTGTAGGATTGCAGTGTGGTATTTTCTTTTCTCTTACTTTTGGATAGAATTGGAACTGGACAAGATCTCCAGGTGCGGCTTTGACGTTGTTGGGAAGGAATGTGAGAGATCCGTTGGGTCCACCGACTTGGACAATGTGTGTAGTGACCATGCCTTCTGGTGCGGAACCCGCAGCCGCGGACCCAGTCGACAAGACTACTGGTGCTGATAATATAGATGAAGGCGACTGTGCGGCAGCCAAACCCATGAGGGCGGATAGGACGACGGATTGTGAGAAAAACATGTTTGCTGATATGGGTGGCCTCTGAAGGTTCCTGAAGGAATTAAGTATATGGATTGAGTTGCTCGTTAAGAGAGTGGACGTAGGCGACTAGCGCTCTGGTAAACAATCAAGCTGGACTAGCCAGGTATTAGGAGATAGAAAGACCGTTACGGTGTACGAAGGGAAGAGAAAGAAGATGCAAAGGAAATGCACAACAAGAACGTGAGATGGAAGAAGGAAGAGACGGAGCCTGAGGGGAGGCTATAGGCCATCTTAAGGCATGAAGAACAGTCACACGGAAAGCGTTTGGATCGTGTCTGTGTATGCGTGGCGGGAGGGAGCCATTCCGATACACGCATGTTGCGTTGCGACGGATTGGATGCTGTTCGTGCTTCAGCCTCCTGTTCGGTTAAGCACCCCTGCCACCTGAGGCTCCTATCATAAATCATTCAAAGATGACCAGCAGTGCAGCAATTCCTTGGTGAGGTTTGCCCGAAATTACATTCATTCTGCAGCGCAAGAGAAGAGAAAGGTACCCAGACCATCATAGAAGACCTCGATTTGTTTCCTGTGGTGGTGTGTCGACGTTTTGCAGATAATCGCTGTTTGGATCGTGAAGTTGGAGTTGCAAAGCGTGGTACGTTCCAGGAGGTGTTTGAGGCTGCTTCAAGGGTGCCGCCAGCCGCGGTGATCACCAAACCGGTTAGGCGAGCACTCGGAAACTTCTGTTGCGAGATTGGATAAACGTCTGTACAGCTTTGGATTTCATGCTGCGTACGCAAAGTCATTCGAATCAGTCTCTTGGAAGCCGGGCATCACTGTCAACGTTTCAAACACTATGACGGCCCCGTCCTTTGTTTGGCCCACGCGCGTTCGGATCCAGCTGCCAGCTTACTGTATATGTCGTGATTGACGGTCGTGTTGCTTTACGAGCCTGAGGGAATGCTGTTCAAACTGGGTTTGGTCAAAAAGGAGACGGGTTGTTGTTTCAGCTCCTGTCGCTAAATGGCCATCATCTTCGCGCTGGGAGAATAGCAGCAGGATGTCTGCCTGCTGCCTCTGCTGCCAATTTCGCGTCCATGTGCTGTACATGCAAATGGGAAACGATGATCTTTGGAACATCTTCCTAGCTAGCCGCCGTAGGTATCCGTATCCGGTGCTGCATCTCAACATCGAATTCCCCCATCCGCCAGTCAAAGCCGGGTTGTCCACAAACCGTGACACAATCTTCCCTCTTCCCTCCCCCCGTCGCGTACTCCCCACTCAAAAGTCCAGCACCAGCTGCGGCGCCAACTTCTCCAAGTCCTCGACCTGCAAAAACCCATCACTAATCCCACCCCCCTTGACGGCAAGCTCGCGCTCATGCTTCGCCCGCGCAAATGCCTCTCTCACAAAGATATCCAGATACTTTCCCACCAGATTCATCGCACCCTTTTGGATCTGCGTTTGCTCGTTTTCAAAGTTCTCATACAGGAGACGGGCAAGAAGTGGTGCTGGTATAGACGGTGAGGCGGATGCGAAGGAGGCAGCTGGGGGTCTTGCGGTGGTGGGCCGCATGGGCGCGTCTTGCATGAGGTCGTCACTGTCCATGTCGATGTCGTCGTCGAATTCATCTTGCTCGTCGCCGGAGGAGAGGATGACTGTGGGTTGGGGCTGGGTTTCCGCCCGTGACGTTGGCGCGGCGACCTTCTTGGGAGCTGCAGGGCCGCGTTTGGCTGTGGTGGTTTGTGCAGTGGGTGCTTTTATGGGACGGGGGGGCTTGAACTGAGGGCCGCCACGTCGCGAGGCGCCAGTGGTTGCATTTTTTGGAGGCATCGTCGTTGCAGTGGATTTGTGTTTGAAGGTGTGGGGTTGAGGATGGGGGAGCGGTGCGGGCGTCGCGACGCTTGTGAACGCGACTGTGGGTGACGCGTTCTCACGTGCTCACGATAGCACCAAACAGGCAGCGTCTGCCTGAAGTAGGTACCTCACTTCATTGCGACACCCATAGCAGACTCTTTGGAACAAATGAAGCATCATACACATCATCAAACATGCCCTAAAAATACCCACTGTACACGTCACAACAGTAATCAACGTCTCGAAATAGTAGGTGTAAGCGTCTTGTGGACTCGCAACATTTACGGCGCATCGTCGGCGTCGGATTTGCGAGAAAATTAGCGATCATCTCAGATGGGTAAATTGAAGCCCCCAGAGTACTCGTCCTACTTGACCGTTTCCTGTGTCTCTTCGGTCAAAAGCAGGCTTCGTCTCACTCATACGGAGCACGTTTATATGATGATAATTAAATCATGGCTCAAGCGCTCATCGCTGGCACAGGGACCCAGCTTGTAACTATGCTGTATTGCATGCATGTTGTGCCATCACCACCCATTCGTTGCGCAGATACGTATCAGATAGGTGGTAATTTGAAGTAGAGAAGCGAACAAGGGCAACGACCCTGGGTCCGGGAACTGCCTCGGATCGATATTGGGTACTTTTTGATCTTCGGTACAACGATCAGCGATTGCGAAGAACGGGCCGCACGGTTGTGTAATTTTTATTTTCGGCTGTAATCATGGCATCCTAGTGCACAGTGTCGCCGGTGGCAGTCGGTCCTAGGCAGCCGGGGTAATAGGAAGGCAACATCAAGGCCGCCGGTGCACAAGTATGGTACGGCAATGGCAAGTACTGTAGGTACCTACCCATGAGCACAGTAAGATGTTCCACGGGACGAGTGGCCAAGTGCTTCAAGATCGACTGGCTGACATTTGATTGCGTGGGAGATGAGCTTTCCCTGTGCACTGCTTTTCTACCGGCGGTTTGGTACATCGTTGCACAGCAGTGGCATCAGATCCCCATCTCCATCTTGACTGAGCCTGACGTGCATCACGGCAAAGAGGTAGCCGTGCGACCAACAAAAAGGACTTGTGCAAGTGGAAAATGGATGGATGGATTGATTTGGTTGTTGCGCGGCATCGACGCAATTGGATTGTGTTGCTCGAGACCATCACAGACTGATTCTATAGGGCACAAAGGTTGAGGACTCGAGTCACAGAAGGGTGGCTCAGGAGAGCACATGTGTCTCGAGTATCGAACATCTGAGTCTATTTTGTCCCTTTTGTATTCCTTTTGGTGGCCGTTGCAGCCAACTATCAGAGCAGCCATCGAGTGTGCCGAGAAGGGATGCTGTTGGGATGTCAATGTGAATGTGAATCAGGACCCCTAGGTGTAGGTTTGGGAGGTTGGTGGAGATTGTTGGAGGGTGCCATGTTCTTGGGTGGCAAGGCTCTCCCATCGCACACCAGTACCAGTGCCTGCAGTCAGATCGATGGCTCCTGCGATTTTCCTGCAGGCAGCGCGTGAGATAGATGAGCTAGGTACGTGGTGCAGAAACAAAGGAATGATGGCGGTGGGCCCTCGATTGTGCCAGTGACGCGAGTGGTGGTGGGCCTGACGCTGAAAACGGAGTGCAGGCGCCCCGGCTGGGTAAGGCCGTAGTAGGCTGTACGCTCACGGGACGCTCTGGGACGAAGCATTGCCGTTGACGAAGTGGAAAAGTCATCCCGCTTCGGCTTACAGCCGGTCGAGTCTCACGTGCAAGAGGGTGGAATCTGGAGTGCTTTGGTCTCAGCAGACGCCATCGAGATGCTGTGGAAGCAAGGCGGGTCTGATTCGAGCAGGTGGCAGGCGGGATGATCAGCTCGCGTAACGCAGGAAGAGAAGGAAAAAAAAAGGGAAAAAGGGATCCTGTAGAGCAGATGGCATTAGTAGAGTAGATGCGGAATCGAGACTCGATCAGCGGCTGTCATGGCAAAGCAGAGACGGGTCGAGGCCAGACGGGGCTTGGTGGAGAGGGAGCCAGGGCCGCGATTGAGTTAGCGCGATGGGGACTAGGAGAGAGTCGAGATTGTAAAACCTATGGCGTGGGCATGGGCATGGGCATGGGCATGCTGTTTTTCTTCTTCTTGCCATGCACCGGAGGATTCATGGGTAAAGAGACAGCTGGGCTCGGTTTGGATGGTGGACTGGGGTTGCCTGTCCCGTCCAGCGATGAAAGTCAGTCGCTGGGTGGTGGTGGTATTGATGGTGGTGATGGTGGTGATGGTGGGATGGAGAGGGGGACCGGGCTGTTGGGTGGGGCCAGAAGTAAGTTGCACACCCACTGTCACCATACTCGTAGCACACTGTACGTGTGTAGACATGGCAGATGGTACACTCATGTTCAACTTCCCGTGACGTCGAGGAAGTCTGCAAGACTGGCGGCCAAGGGAGAAAGGGACCGAGAGGACAGTGGGGCACTGGAGGAGGAGCAGCCATGTGTGTGTGTGTGTGTGTGTCAATGGGTAGGTACCGCAAGTGTATTAGGTATTGTATGTGTGTGTGTGTGTGTGTGTATGTGTATGTGTGTGTGTGTGTGTGTGTATGTGTATGTGTGTGTGTGTGTGTGTGTGTATGTGTGTGTATGTGTATGTGTGTGTGTGTGTGGGTTCATAGCAAGGCCGGGCGGCAGGGGCGATTGGGCTTGGGGTAGGATGGAATGGGACAAGGTTGGAAGAGGTCATGTGACTGCGTCGACAAGATGAGAGCATGAGAGTAGTGGTAGTGGTAGTGGTAGTGGTAGTGGTAGTGGTAGTGGTGATGATGGATGGTGAGGCCGAGCACAAGGGTGCTGAAAGCGTGCAGGGACGGCTGATAGCCGCACACACACAGACACACAGACACACCACACACTTGCAAGCAAGCACCACAGAGAGGGCGCAGTTCATATGACCATGGAATTAGCGCTGCGTGAACTTGTATTTGGTTTAGGGTTAGGCTATGCCAAGCTCTACTAGCTAGCTAAGCGAGGTTAACTAAATATTATTGTAACGACTTAGGTAGGTAGGGCATCCAAAAGGTATCCTATACAACTTAAAGGCATATGGGAGTGCGCGTCTATACAGAAAAGGATAAGGTTCCTACACCTATAGGTCTTGTACGAAAGGACAAGAAGAATATACCTATCCTAACTATAGGCGAGCTATTCTCTATATATATTAGTAAGTTAGGCCTTTATTAGACTAGACTTAGCATAGAATAATAGGCAGGCAATTCTACCTTATTATTATACTACCCCCTCCTATAGAGAAAGGATAGTCCCTATCCTTAGGATTAGGTTTAGATCCCTCTTTAAAGAAGAGCTTTTGCAAAATAAATCTACCTTTACCTCTGCCTTTACCTTTACTTCTTCTTCCTAGGGCATAGACCCCTATCCCTAGCCTACCTATAACTAGCCCTCTACCTACTAACTTTCTTACTTCTATATCCCTAATTTTTTAATTATTTAACCTAATCTATCTAAAATCTAGTAAGTATTTAATCTATATAATTAAACAGTTACTAATCTAAATTAGAACCTTTAGCTATACTAGTACTAGTACTACTAGGAGTCCTCCTAGTTGCTTATTGCGCTCTCTATATAAGAGCAGTTAGGGCTCTAGCTAGGGGTAGGTTTAATAATTTTAATTTTAAGTTAAAGAATTCTAAGAAGTGCTAGTACTATATCTCCTAGAATAAGTATTGCAATCTAGTAAGTGTCTAAGTCTAATAGGGTTCCTTTACTAATCCTAGCAGATTCCTTCTTTTATTAGCTAAGAGTACTCTACCCTTAGGGGTGCTCTAGAAGAATACTATAGCCTAATTAGAAACCCTACTAAAGGGGATAAGGATAAGGAAGCTATAGTTACCTATTAGAAGGATATTAAGTAGTTTAAGGCTACTATTTAAGAAACTACCTAAAACCTTGCTAAGTGTGTTACTATTACTAATACTTAGACTAAGGGTATAAAAGCTACTAAAATCCTTATAGCTACCTATTATACTGCTATATCTAATTTATATTAGCTTTAGAATAGTATCTATAAGATAGTCTTAGTAGTTAAGAGCTTAATAAGGGCTATTAAAGAACTTAAGGAGGAATTAGCGCTAAATTAGGAGGTAACTTTCCTAGTCTAGGCTAAGATAAAGGCGTTCTACAAGAAGGAGTCTAAATTAGTCCTAGCTCCTGTCCCTACTCCTGCACCTACTCTAATTCCTGCTGCACTAGTTATCTAGAAGCTAGTAAAGAAGGATAGTCTAGGCGCGATCTTAGCTAATATAGAGTCTAAACTAGGTTCTAATAGAGAGATAGATATAGAATAAAGAGGTTTCCTAGGGGTAGTGGTCCTGCAGGAACCTTTAAGGTTCTAAATAGGATATAATAATAAATAGCGACAAGAATAATAGTAATAGATAGTAGTTAATAGGTAATATATAGCTAAATAGGATATAAATTAGTTCTAATATTAGGTATAATTATTATAAAGTAATATTAGGTTCTCTTTCCCTTTTTCCTAGGCTTAAATCTATTTTAGTAAGCTGCGTAGGGGACCTAGCTAATTTAGATACTATTAGTAGAATGCCTATAATTTATAGGGAGCCCCTATAAAGTTAGAGGTAGGATACTAAATAGGATTAGGATTGTGTCTAACCTACTTAACCTTATATTTTAGCTTAGATTAATATAATTTGCTAGCTAGGATTTCTTCTACCTCCTATTCCTCTATACCTTATATAGGAGTACTAGGGGGTTTTAGAGCCTCTTATCTAGGTAATAGGTCTTAGGGATCTTTGTATAGTATATTAGGAGAGAAAACATTATAGATCTTAGAACTAGGTAGCAATTAAAGGCGATACGCGTTTCCTACTTATTCTAATACCTTAAAGGGACCTTCCTATTATTTAGATAGTTTTTAGCTAGGTTATAAAATAGCAAGATTAGTAGTAGATAGATAAATATAGTTACTAACCTTCTAGTTAACTAGATAGTGATAGCAATTAGTCGTGGAGCGCATTTAGTCTTAAGCTCTTTCTATATTTTCTTTAGTAATCTTCTAGGCGTTGTGTATCTAAGTAGCAAGGGATAAGGCGTCCTTATAGTTTAGTTTCTCTAGTATAGTAGATAGGGTCTTTTCTAGTTTCTAATTCTAACTTTACTTTAGTAAGGAACTAAAGAGGAGCTAATATAGAGCTATGCTAATAGATAAATATAGAAGAGTACTTTAGGCATAGTCTATTATAGGTAGTAGGTTACTCTAGTTATCTTAGTAATAGGATATAAAAGGCCTTAGTCTCTAATTAATATACTTATTTATAATCTTAGTTTGTCTATTAGTTTATTTATAGTAGGTAGTAGAGAGCTTAACTTTAGTGCCTATAATCTAATAGAACTTAGACTAGAAACTAGATACAAACTAAGGGCCTTAATTAGAAATAATAGTATCTAGAGTGTGTCTAAATTAGTACACCTACTAAACAAATAAGGTAGCTATACCTTAGGCGTCTATAGTTTTGTAGTAAGGGATAGTAATAGCTTACTTTAATAGGCGATTAATAATAACTATAATCTAATTATAACCACATTAATCCTAGGGAAAATCCTTAAAATTAATGCACAAGTGTTGCATAGGTAGACTAGGGATAGGAAGGGGATAGAGCATGCTAGGGAGTTAGTGCTATCTTAGGTGCCCTCTCCTGCATAGGATACAGTTCTAAACGTAGCGTTTATAGGTAGTCTCTATACCTTTCTAGTAGTAATATTAGGCTAGAATCTAATAGGTTTTAGTAGCTAATAGGTAGGTAGTAGACACTTAATTATAAGCCTTACAAATTAGTCTAGTATATAGGACTAATCTAGTAGGCACGCAAAGTTAATCCTAGTAGAGAAGGAGTCTGTTTTCTATCTAATAGTGCTTAGGTAACTCTAATCTTTCTATTAGGAATAAGGACCTATTTTCTTAGAGAAGAGTTTTAATAAGTTCTAGGGATCTAAGAGTTATAGGGTTCTAAACTACTATAATTAAAGCAAGGATTAGTAAGGAACGCTTAGCTAGGTAGTCTTGCGCTAAGTTAGAGTTAATTTAGGGGTATAACCTGTCTAGGGAGATTATTACTTATAAGTAATTATCCCTTTGCGTAGTCTTAAGGTTAACCATATCCTATTCCCTTCTACTTAGGATATCTGCTTAGGCGTTGTAAGATCTAGGAGTATACTTAATTTAGAAGTTAAAGGGACTTATAACCTCTAGCTATCTAGCTTGCCTAGCACTAAGGACTTTAGTAGACATAAAGTACTCTAGTGCTCTGTGGTCTGTGTATACTCTAATAAGGTGCTAAGTACTTATTAGGTTAGCACGCTATTTCTTAAAGGCGCAGATTATTGCAAACAATTCTTTGTTATAGATTTCCTAATTAAGTTTAGAACTAGTAAGGGTCTAACTAAAGAAGGATATAGGGTACTATTTCCTATTAGGATGCTCCTATAAGAGGACAGCTGCAATAACTCTATTAGAGGCGTCTGTCTCTAGTTTTAGAGGGTACTTAGGATAGAAGTAAGCTAAGCTTAGGATTACTAGCAGGGCATTCCTAAGCTAGTTAAAGGCTTATTAGCATTCCAAAGTCTATATAAATAGGGTAGCAGGACTCTAGAGGGCGGTTAAGGGCTTAGCTATCTTAGAGAAGTTTTCTATAAATTGCTAGTAGAATCTAGTAAATCCTAGGAAGGACTTTACTCTAGTTATTGTCTTAGGAGCGGACTAGTTTTAGAGTACTTTAACTTTGTTAGGGTCTACCTCTAAGCCTTTGTTAGTTAGGATATAGCTAAGGTAACAGGTATAGGTTGTATAGAATTTGCTTTTCTTAATATTAGCCTGTAATCTAGTAGAACAAAGAGGCTTAAGGACTTTTTTAATATAGTCCTTATAAGTAGCAAGGTTTTTAGAGTAGATTAGGATGTTATCTAGATAGGTGATGCAGAAGTTATCTAAATAATCTATTAGTATATTATTTATATAACGCTAATAGGTTGCTAGTCTATTATATAGCCTAAATAGTAGGACTTTGCATTTATAGGCACTATATCTAGTGCAGAAAGTAGTGTACTCCTCTAAGTTAGGGGTCTATTTAGATCTTATTAAAGGCAGCACAAATATCTAGCTTAGTAAAGATTTTTACTTTAGCTAGCTAGGATAATAGATTGTCTATGCAGGGTATTAGATACGCGTCCTTTCGCGTTAAGCTATTAAGCTTACAGTAATCCACATAGATCCTAAGGCCTCTATTTAGCTTCTTAACGCATAGGATAGGAGAGGTAAATAGGCTCTAACTAGTCTTAATAAAACCTTTCTATAGGTGCTCTTATATATATTCCTTAGTAGCCT